TACCTAATTACAACAATAATAATAACTTGGCTACTAACTACGCTAATATCGCACGCTGTAAATATGTAACGTCCTAACTGCATAACATTAACTGTAAATATTTGTGACAACCATAATTTGCTGGTGTGACGACGCTAACCAATCCAAGTCATCGGTTGTCGCGAAGACGAGTACCTTTGCAAGGACGGCATGCGCTGTATTAGCAATTCGAAGATTTGCGATCGTGTAACCGATTGCATAGACGCTGACGACGAGGATGAATGCGAAGGCAGTAAGTAATGCGCGGCAAAGTGCTTGGTGTGGCGAAGAAATTCACTTAGTTTAAATTTGGTGCTAATAACAACAAGAGCCATATTTAACGAAGCGACTACCCGCCGGGCACTCAGCGCTTCGTCAAAAATTCATTTCACTCAACTCTATTGCGCATTTCCGTTGTGGCAACTCTCAACAATACTCATTTGTCCTTCCTTGCTCTCTTTCTCTCTCATTCTCATTTTGCATTTCATCTCTTATGCTACAAACGCTTTCACTGGATTTTAACTACGGCTTAGTTGTGCCACAGCTGCGTTATTTCTGTCCGAAGGGCAAATTCACCTGCCACGATCTCTCCTGCATATCGATCGTGCATCGTTGCGATGGAAAAACCGACTGTCCGAACGATCGCGCCGATGAGGAAGGATGTCGTAGGTTGCCGATAAAAAATTTTATGCACTTGCATACTTGTCGCCTTTTTAGTTTTCTTACTTTTTTTTACGTCTTCATTCAAGAAGAGCGGGTCGTGAGTGTGCAACACTCACTCACCGTACATGATTTCTCTTTTTGCTCTCTTCTCTTGGAATTGTTTGCGCAGCTTGTCTCTACGAGCGCTGGATGTGCGATGACGGCACCTGTGTGCCACAGCAGCTGCGTTGCAATGGCAACATTGACTGTCCCAACGACGTGTCGGACGAGCGGAATTGCAATGGTGAGCTAAAGTAATTGTGAAACAATGCGTGGACTTACAACACCTAGGCTTGTGGTGGCAAAACATTTTATTTACATATGAAAGATGCATATACCGTTAACTCTGTTGCAAACTAATTAAATTGTAAAATCAGGCGCCGCTAAATGGCTAAAATCCGCGCTTTAATGCTGCGGTATACGCGCGTTGACGCCACCACTATTCACGTTGCACAATTTGATTGTCAGCTTGAAACAGCTCGACGCATTTGCTTTACATTTATATTTCTGTTTCAGTTTCCCTTTTCTCTTTCGTTCTACTTTTTTGTTGTTTGGAAACGTTTAAAAATTCGCGCCGCCGGCCAACACATGTTTGGTTCACTTACAGTCACACAAACACGCACACATATGCCGTTTGCAAAACAGCGTTTACTTCGTGACTTTTGTTGCTGGCTGCTGCTTGTGGCGTTGATTTGAAAATTAACATTGCAAAAATCGCTCAGCACACACACATATGCAAACACATGCGACAGCCAGCCAACAAAAAGGCAAGAAAGGGTTTCCGCGCCGCGCTTCCAAACTCATGCCGGTTTTCCGCGCCCGCCATACACTTTTGCGCCCTTCCTGCTAACTGCTGCGTCGCTCTGATGCTCAGACATTTTGTTACAACCGTTCATTGCTTTATTCCGCTTGTTCGTCTGGCAATTTGAATGACATTTTAATTTTTCTGCCACATTCCACTTCACCGACATTTTTTACGTTTCAGCATTTTCGCATTTTTGCTTAGATTCGCGTTTACTTTAAGCATTTATTTATTTAAACAGCTTTAATGAATCAGCTGTGCAACAGCAATGTATGCCATTTTATGTTCACGCACACACTCACACAAGAGCGCAATATTCCAAGCGCGTGCAATGGCCCTATTGACAGCTGGGACACACCTTTGACGTTTAGCTGTCAGTTCAAACATTTCACGAGATTTTGCGCTTAATTTTGTATGCCTGACAGGTCGCGTCAGTTTCCGCTTGCGGTTTGTTTTACAAATAAAGCAATTTATTTATAATTGTACACCTGTTAAAATGTTATTGCAATGTTTGGAATAGCAAGACTTAGTTATAAGACTTTTCGTTATAATTTTTCATAATGTAAAAGCTCAAAACTAAAAGCCAACTAGTTAAAATAATCTACCTATTTTTAAATAATTGTATTCGACTGTGATTTTTAGTAAGTTTAAGAATATTTCAAACATATTCAAGTTTATTTTTTAATATCGAGACTGGCAACGCTGCGTTGCAAGAGAGCAATCAGCTGACTCGTTTCTACGGGAAAAATACAATTTTCGTGGATATTGGTCTGTAGAAGCTTACGGTAGAAGCGTTGGTGAGTGCTCATTTACATTGCGCTCTCTTAAGCTGGGTCGTGTCAGTTAATACGGTCTACGGTCTTGGATCGGTGACTGTTTCCAGCATTAGTATTACATTTCACTTTCCCACGAGCGTTTGTTTACTGAGCTTGCATATAATCGGGTTTGTCTTCTGCACCTCAAGACGTTTGTGCGTCGTGTGCTCATGATTACCCACATTCCTCGGTTTTCGCTACACTCCCATCTGAGCACACTTTGTTTGCATATATTTTTTTTATATTACCATTAATTTGGCGCACAAACTCGCACTCACTTTACTGCGTGCTTCATCAATTCTTCATTAAATTCTAATTTCATTAATTTGAGTTGATTTACTAATTACACAACTTTGTTGTTTTTTTGTTTCGCCAACCCAAACTTTCCCCACCAACAAACGTAACCATTTGTAAACATTTTAAAAATACAACCCTGCGTTTTTTGTTAACTCACCGCGGCGCTGCTCTGCTAATCGCCTCAAGGTGGTGAGTCCGCATGCAGATACAATGAATTCCAATGCGGCAATGGCCAGTGCATACCGATGCGTGAGTTATGCGATAATATCTATGATTGTGTAGATTATTCAGACGAAAGGGACTGCGGTAAGTGCCACTTTTTCAGCTTAATAACAGAAACAATTTGGAAAAGGTGGTGGGCAGGCTTTTTTTATTCAACCAAAAATTGTCTTATTTGAATTTTGAGTATAAAATTTGGTGCTGGTGTTTACTGTAAAAATCAACTAGCTTTAAATATATACTCGTACATATATATTTCGTATAGTCGCTAGAGGTAACCCTCCTAATAAATATTCTCATAATCGCTGTCAAAGTGTACCATATGCTTTTATATAGCTGCAAAAACAACTTCACGCTTCTGCTCTTCCAGATTATGTAGATTATGCTGTAATCGTTAAAATTATGAAAAATACAGGCAGGTGCTGAATTCCGATTCGAACGAACGTGTGCCAAATGTGAACGACACAGTTTTTACTCATAACAACTTTTTCGTTTTCAAATGTAAATTTAATGCTAAATTATTTAAAACTGCCACATTTTACTTTTCTTGCCGATTGCAAATACAGTTAAGGTTTGCAATTAAGTTCAATTCAAGCCGATTTTGAAAAATTTGATCGAATCGAAATTCAGAACATAACTGCTTGTATATATATATGTTTAAATATTTTCGTTGTGTGTTTGAGATTAGTGATAATTATACAAAATATATTGCGCTTTAACGATTCGCTGCTTATTGCTTTTAGAAGTACTTTTGGTAAGCTACCGTAGTTGTCAATGTCGCTGTGCTGCAAATGATCAAAGTTGTTTTACTGTGTACCAAAATTTTAAAACTAATTTTTTTATAATTTTTCTTTCTTTTTGGTTGCAAACGAAATTGAAATTTACGGTAATGGTTAAAACCAAAAACAAAAAACAAAAAACAAAACAACACTAAAAACTTAAAAAAAAAATTACAACAAAATTAACCCTACCACTACTACTTTGCTACTACCAAAAATGCAAACCTGGCTTTTGCCTACCACATATTGGCAAAATATTGCATTTAACGGCAATTCTTGGTTGTGGAAAACTCTTTGAATTTGCGCGCATGCTAAACAAAAACAAAATTAAAACCAAAAAAATATTTAACCAACCGTAAAACCCCGCTTAACCTTTATGTATCCGCTCGTGGTTGCATGCGGTTGTGTTGTGTAGACATTGAGGACATCGGACGCAATATCTTCGACGATGATGAAATAATACGCGAATACGCGCCACACGACCGCAGAGTTTTGACCACGGAGGCGCCTGTGCTGGAGGGTTCGGACGCCAAGGAGTACTACCTCTACAATTCGGGCCTCTATGAAAAGTCGAACGCGCAACATTCCTGCAACGAACGACAATTCGAGTGCGGCAACAAGGTTTGCATACCTTTGCAACTGCGCTGTGACGGTTTTTACCATTGCAACGATCTAACGGACGAGTACGGCTGTGATCAGTACAGACGCACAACCTTGCCGCCGCCGAAGCTTGTGCGCACCACACACGCACCCTGGTGGAATACCACTGCCGCCATAACAGCAACAACGACGACCAGCCGGCCCAGTATAACAACAACAGACGCAATTATTGTCACACCCGTAGTACCCAGTAGGTTTCTCCAAACAATCAATTAGGTGGTGGGCTGTGGTGAAAAGAACTTGAATATTATAATTAAATATGGTCTATTATTGGCAAAATTGCTTAAAATGGCGACTGCTGCCTCAAACTAAATTTTGCATGCTTTGTGAGTGGCAACTCTAAGGACTAAGCAAGTTGGGTTAACCGTGCTGCTAACATAGTCTTACCGCTCTGTTCCGCCACTCGCAAATAATACGCGCCCACTTGCAACACGCACGCACACACACACACACAGACACATGCACATTTGCCCAACTTCCATGCAAAATTTACTTAAACAGCAGCGCACTAAGTACAGTTAAAAGCAAAAGCTCAGTTATTATTATTTAGTTCAGCTGCTTTTTGCGCTCAATTCTTAATTTTACACATTTTACTCAGTTATTTGCAACACACTCAAACGTACATTCTCTCATATTTTTACGCGTCACACATTTCACTCATTTTGGTTTCTTCAAAATATGCTCTCAACTCACCAAACGCACTCGTAGGCTACAACAATAACACATGCCTCGAAAATATTGAGTTCGCGTGCCGCAACGGCGATTGCATACCAATCGAGAGCGTTTGTGACGGCGCTGCCGATTGTAAGCAGCGCGAAGACGAAGACTACAGTTTATGCAACTGCAGCAGCGATAAGGTAAGTCAGTTGCGTAGGCGCATGCGTGTGCGCTCCGCACACAAGCTGTGGCCGTTACTGTATAGCAAAGTTTACAATCTTGCGCACAGTGTGGAGCGCACGCGCCGCCCAGCAATGCGCGCTTGAGCCATAAACATTGCAGAAATGTAGTGACTCAAGCGCCTAATAATTTACCGTTATTATATGTAAATATAGTGGAAATGTTTGCGCGGCGGCGGTTGCATAGCCAAAACTCAAGTCTGCGACGGCAAGCGACAGTGCAAGGACGGCAGCGACGAGAGCATTTGCCGTAAGTATCACAGTAGTGACTTAAAGGGCATGCGTTGCGTATGCGTAAAACTAATCATTCAAATTTATATATAAAAATATGTATGTATTTATTTGTTCTAAATAGCGGTAGTTAACAAATAGTGTAGTGTTATATGTTGCATGCGCATGTTTTATAATATTATATTACAAACGAAGACTATAAATACAAATGAATAGATTTAAGCATTAGCATAACCAAATTTAGCCAATTATTCGTATATCTAACAATATATATAGTCAAATGTAGCCGATAAATTAGCTTAACAAAGACTAACTACTTTTATTCTATATTAAAATGAGTAAAACATATTAGTTTATATTTTAGTTTTTCTATAAGCTTCTAATGTTGGCTAAAACCCAATAATACTACAACAACTTAAAAGTTTGATTCAAAAAAGTTTAAGAACCACTGACTAGATACCTTTTACGAAACTTTCTATGCTCACCGCCAGCGACTTTGCACCCCACTCACCAAAATCACTCACTTACAACCTACAAATACTCGAATTAATACGTGCGCACCCTTTATATACACGCGCATACCCGCTAACCCACACAGCTTATGTTGCTCTATTATTTCTTCTCATTTGTGTTGTAATTTCATTTCACTCAATTAACAAGCATTATCTATTTTCACTCAACTTTTACTATTTCACTACTCAATATTGAACTCATTCATCTATTGTAGATTTTCATGCTAAGTATAATAAGACGCGCATTGTGAATGAATGTCATAGCTTTCAGTATCAATGCGCCGATGGTATCTGCATTTCGGGCTACAAACGTTGCAACGGCATAACCGATTGCGTTGACGGTTCCGACGAAAATAATTGCCCGTTAAATTATGATGACACAACTTACGGTATACTCAACCACTTTTTTCAAAATTCTAAAGTTAAAATTAAAACCCTGCGAAATTTTTAATCCAATATTAACACTACTCTCATGCCAACGATCTGGCTGCAAATGCAAAAGCACAATTGTTTGGATTGATTGGTTTCATATAAGCAGCGATTAAGTTCACAATGCACTGCAAAGCCCTAATCTAATTGAACCAGTAACGGTTCCGTTCCTCTCTATTCTTGAATTTTGCGCAAAGCATGTTTTAATTATATTACATACATTTGTATATATCTTTTCCATGCCACATACCATACACGCACACAATTACACATAAACTCAAACATTATGCCACGTACTCAACACTCATGCCACGACGCCTCGGCCCGTTCGTTTGCCCGCCACTAGATTTCGAGCCGGATCCCGCGCTCAGCGAATGCGATATTTACGAATTTGAGTGCGACTACTCGCGTTGTATACCAATTGAGAAGAAATGCGACGGTTACCCGGATTGCGATGACGAAACTGATGAATTACAATGTCCGCCGTTTACAGGTACGAGTCAAA